CTGGTTTTCCAGAAAACTGGGTCTTCAAGAGTCAAGAGCACAAATCCTTTTAGCCTTTTTCTTATCTCAATATACTCTATTGAATGAGATATGAATGAATCGAAACGGAGCGTATCACTTGGGAATGTTCCCTCGTGAGCGGAGCGTTTTCCTCATATAACCGAGTTTTCTTTACTGAATATTTTCCAAACGAAAAACCCCAGAACAAAATTTTTACCCTATTCGATAGCGCTATCTGAGATGCATATTCTAGACTATTCAAATCACAGAAAAGAGCCCTTTCGATTTCTGGCCAAATGTCCGCCTTTATGCCCACTGTGTATCTGATCAACTGTCGTTTCTAAGCGATTTCGATTGACTATTATACGACAGAATCTACATGTATAAGTTGTGGTTGATGGTTCAGATTTTAGTCATAATTTAAATTTGAATTCACTTGAATCTATTCTCGTTTCGCTGTTTATGCTCTGTTCATTTTGTTTTCTGCTCTGGTAGTAGTGTAGCATGGTGGATCATAGTACGCTTAAGAGAGACATAGATCGAGTAGTAGATAAATCTGTCAGAATATGCAAAAAGCCATGAAAATGAATATGATTTATACGAAATTGCTGGAAACATCGAAAAAAGTGATTTCTTTTCTTCTAGAAGTTGTTTGGACTTTTATCCGAAAATCATAAGAGAAAATAATTTTTTTAAGACCTCACCCATGCAAAAATGGTGATTGATCTTCTAATCTTTTTATATTGTGTTTATACATCAAACATCCGTGATTATGGGCTTTTTTATTTTTGTAGTTATTCTACCTCATCAGATCAACATGATTCAAATAGTGAAATGATTGATTTACAAACATCTTGTTCATCGTTAACAGAACAAAATTTACAATTAGTTGCCGAAATAAATTTATCTAAAATAGAATTAAAACGTTTTGTTGATGATCTAAAATCATCATCATCTTTTGATGATAAAATTCTTCTTCCATCTGATCCACCCTATCTGATATTTATTATTTGGTTCAACGTCGTGATAAAAATGAAAAAGAACAGACGTCTATCATAGAACAATTACAGAATGAATTATTAATATCAAATAATCTTTTAGAAATAAATCAAGAACAGTTTGAAATGTTAACACAAGAACAAAATCAACTCATTGTACAAACCTCAAGTCACTATTTATGCATTACAACAAAACTTAGTGAATATGATAGAACAGAATGATAAAGATTTTCACGGATTTTTAACACAGTTTAATCTACAACCGTCCATTGCATCGTCATTCAGTAATCCTATAGATGATATTATATCGATCTACGACTGGACATTCGCACAGAATCGACAATTACAACAAATTATTATGAAAAAACAAATCAAATTGAACAGATGAATAAAAACAACCAACACCAAGAGGTAAAGAAACAAAAATACCCTTTCAAATGAAGTGTGTGCTTGTTGTATTTAAATATCCGGCATCAAATGCATTACACACAAGGATTCATCGAGCCGCTTAATGTCTTTTTGTACTATTCATTCATACTATTCATTACACACAAGGATTCATCGAGCCGCTTAATGTCTTTTTGTACTATTCATTCATACTATTCATTCATAACAAGGTGCAAATATTGGCTCTACTACTTCTACGAAAAGCTCTTTTAGGTTTGCAAAATTGTGCATGCAGCTTTGGGGCGTTGGGACGCTACTGGTTAATAGACGTTTGGTTCTATAATTTTTATAAAACTAATTTTCTGTCAGTTTTGAATGCCGAATTAGGAAAATATAAAAAGAAAAGTAATCGTAAGCAAAAGACGGACAAATTCCAGTTTTTCAATAACAAGGAGTTTGGGGTTTTTGAGGTCCTTTCAGTAGTTAGAGTTTTTCTCCAGGAAGAAAAGGGTTTCTAAGGCTGGAAAGGTGACATTCGTGATCAGCTTGACAAGACGAATCTGTCAGATTCGTCTTGTCAAGCTGATCACGAATATCACCTTTCCAGCCTTAGAAGTTTTTTCGAGCTTTTCATATATATTCAGATTCTGAATATATATGAAAAGCTCGAAAACACTGTCGCTGCAAGTTTAGATTACGTGCAGATTGTTTTCCGTTCATGAGTTTCCATCAATATTTGATTAATCTTTCAGCGTTTGTAAACATGTCCAGAACGTCATGGATTAAAGCTAGAAAATGGTGGAATATTTTGTCTACAACTGAAGATGTAAGTTCTTCACGAATTGTTCGTATCAAACTGAAATTCTGATTAGATCTATACAGAAATCTGATTAGAGTTCTGCGGGTCTGACATTTTCAATCCCGATCCGGTTCATTTTTTTCGGGATTCTGATTTTTTCAAATTAAACCTACCTCAAGCCCGCCCGAATCCGAAACATTTTTTCCAGTAAAGTAGTGCTCTTTTTCATTTCCACATTAGTAAATTTCTGCTCGTAGAAGTACAAAAATAAAATTCAGCTGGTCGGCTATATGACTGTTTCGCTGTTCATTATTCTTTTATTTATTTAGAATTAGCTCTTCTCGGCTCCTTATATCAGACTAGAAGAGTCGAGATTGGATTTCTTCCCAATCCCAACTGGACGAACTCAAACCCTTCCCGAATCCGAAAAAAGGGTTTCGGGATCCCAATTCCGGGATCGGGTTAAGCCCACAGGACTCTCTATCAGATACCATGATTGAATAACGAAAATCAAAGTTTTCCTTGAGCTATGGCCGGAATTTCTAAATATTTTGTTGGAAATCTATTTAAAGACACCATTTATGAATTAAAGCCTTTTATAAAAAAGTGTCTCAAAATCTCTTCTTTTGATTAGTACAAACTCGACCTTTTCAGCACTTTTTATTCGTCAGTTCTTCATCCGTTGTATCGTTTTCTTGCAGAAAATAAGTATAAACTCACAATAACTCACCGTGTTTTGTCCTAAACATGATACTTCAGTTCAAATATTTAAATGTTTCACAGAAACGCAATATGCAACACAAATATTTGCACAGGATAACATGGGTGAGCCTTTCAATCCAATTCAATATGTTCTGCTTTTCTTTCTCAATTATAATCGACCAGTTATAATTTAGAGACACCGTTTATCGCTTTAATCGCTAAGCGTTTTCTATATTTCGATAGATTTATTCACAGTAACGAAAAAAGAAAAGTAAGAAACGATAGAGAGTGAACCGGATACAAGCAGAGAACGAAAAAGAACGATATGATGTTGATATATGAGATATACGATAGATATTACTTCTGAGTTTGAAATTTGTTTTTCTTTTGCTCCAAATGTTCACTGCACTCACTATGGAGTTATGAAAAAAGTTTTAGTCTCCTTGAACTTAATTTGACCAAGTTTTCTTAGAAAGGGGAGATACTGAAAGAGCGCAGAAAAACAACAACAAAAGGGACAAGCATAAAATGACAATGGGAAA